TGCTCAGAGCCACGCTGCCATGTCCTGCTGCTGTTGTAGAGATTTCATATTTAACATGCTGTCTGCCAAGTTTGAATTCTGATAAAGTTGTATATGATTTGGGGTGGGTAGTACCCAAAATTAAATCTGCCTTTTTGTCTTTTAGCTGTTTTAATTTTGGGCTGGTTTTACCTTTTTTAATAAAAAATCTCTCTGAATCAGGGGGCAATGATAAATCCCATCTTATTATACTTGCCCTTTTTAAGGCTGTGCCCTTGAACCACTGTAAATGTCAATGCATGGAATATGTAGACCTAATATCACGAACAATTGTTAAGTGAATTTGCACTGGCAGCTTCAACCCTTCACCCTGTCGCTCTCCCCCTTTTACTCTGTAATTGAATAACTTGCTGCTAAACAAATAATATTTGCAGTACACTGTAACTCATCTTTTCCCTCTTGTATGTCCTTTGACCTTCATTTGTGTGTATATCCATCTGTAAGAAATGAAGTGTAAATTATTAAAAGAAATGCCTTTTAAAACATTTTATTTATTAAAATGTGTGGATATGATACATAATGTTGCTTAATTCTTCTTCATATTAAGAAATGTTGGTATCTACAGCAAGGCAGCATTAAAGTGGACCTATCATGGTATATTTAAATGATATATTGTAGGGCCATACCTATATAAGGTATATTTATACGTTTCTGTTTTCAAAATACCAAACAGATCATGCATTTTAGCCATGCCTCATTTCGCTCAATTTGCACTTTTTTTAGCTCTGCTGCAAGGGCAGATTCAGTGAGAACAGCACCATCTACTGGCCTGGCATATGTACTACAGCGTCTCCAGCGCTTTCGAACGGCAATGGCCGTGGCTGTCTCCTCCTGATTGGTGGAGTTGGCCCAATAGCCGTAGCGCCACCGTCCTGACGTCAGGACAGTGTTCAAATCTGGATCAGTTTTTATCAGATCCGTTGCAGCCCCTTTTTTAGAGATTTGAGTATGGAGGGAAATAGAGAGGGTTGTGTTTTCTGACACTTGGTGAGTTCCCTGGAACACCGGGGACACATATTCATGTATAAAAGACGTACAAAAGTGCATTTTGCATGATAGGTCCAAGGCACAATGGATTCTCCAGATACTAGATTGTATAATAATATTACAGAATACATTAGGTAACTTTTAATAATTTGACATAACAATCAGCGCATACTAAAAGAACAAATATTTTCCATAAATATAACTACTGCCACACATTAATACATTTTCAGCAGCATGTGCATTATACACAGTACATGTCTTTGTGTTTTGTTCGACAAAACAGGCTCACACTGTTTAAGGAGATGAAAACACTTTCTTCATGTCCAGCTCATCGGGGCCGAAGGAGACGGGCAGCAGCTCGTCCACGGTCATCTTCCGGTGCGAGCCGTCGGGCTTTGACAGGTACACATCACAGTTTAAACCAAACTGAAGGAAGTGGCAAAAAAGAAAATATTAAAAGTTGTCTAATTCCATCACAAAGCCTCCCTTCTTTATGGTGTTTTGTGCGTATGGTCATGACTAAAAAACCCAGATGTTTTACCTCTCTTATGAATTGCCTGCAGCCCCCACATGGCGAGATGAACTGGTCCTTTAGGTCACTGCAAAGAACATTTGAGGACACGAAGAAGTTAGGAAATAAAACTCCGGGAAATGTTTTATTGTTGAAATTAAGGACCTTTTAGCCTGATGCTCGTCTCAAAATGTCTCAGTGTGATGACTCTACTATGAAACTTCACAATGCCTCTCATGTTGATCTGTTCTGGTTTTCTCGCTTTAGCTCTAAACATGTCCCACATTCAAAAACTAACACTTCTTTTATACATCTTCTATTTTGAATTTCAGATGCCTAATGATGTAAATACTTCATAGTATTTATTCATGTTCCTTTTCAGATATAAAGTACAATTTATGATTTCATATTTTTATCATAATTTAATTTGAATTTGATTCTATTCTATATTTAGGCTTCTTTTTTATGTACTTGCATTTATTTTTTATCTCATTTTTATCTTACTATGCTTGTGTTATGCACTAATACACCAAAGCAAACTCGTGAAAACGTATCTAGCATTAAATGTGATTCTGATGGTGCTGAGACTTGAATGCACCTTGCATCACAAGTTGTCAGTCAACCAACTGTTGGGTGTGTAAGATATGCATCAGACAGACTTGTTTTGTGTTAAGTAATAAGGGAAGTTTAATGACAAAGTGAGTAATGGTTTGATAAAACAGGAATGCTGACAGACAGGGTTCAAACTTGACATGCAGGAAATGCACATATTACTTAGGAGTGGAAATTACCTGGCAATTGCAATTGCCTTGAAACTTCTGTAGCCTTCAGAAACCGCTTTTGAGATAGCATTCCTTTCAGCACATACACCCAAGTTGTAGCATGCATTTTCTACATTGCAACCTGCCAGGGACACAATTACACTCATTAGTTAGTTTAGGAGCATTTGCTTCACTCAAACACATTAGCAGTGGTGTAAAATAACTAAGTAGATTTACTCAAATACTGACTGTACTTAAGTACAATTTTGAGGCACTTGTACTTTACTTGAGTATTTCTATTTAATGCTACTTCATACTTCTACCCCACTACAACTCAGAGGTAAATATTGTACTTTTACTCCACTACATTTTCGCAGTACCTTTAGTTACTTTGCAGATATAGATGAATGATACACAATATGATCAACACTTACATTTAGTTACACCTGGAGTTAATTCACAAGCTACCCTGCAGCATACAAAGCCATTAAAACTAGCTGCACCTTTACCAGCTTCGATAACACTTTAATGCATCAATCATTATAATCAAAACATTAAATATATATTATTCGTGAATGGGTCAATCTGCATAATGAGTACTTTAACTGTTGGTACTTGAAGTATATTTTGATGCTAATACTTTTCTACTTTTACTTGACTAACATTTTGAATGCAGGACTTATACTTGTAACAGAGTATTCATTCATACACTCTTGTACTTATCCTCATACTTAAGAACAATATCTGAGTACTTCTTCAACCTCTGAACAAAATGTCAAAGTAATAAAAAGAGGCTCTGTTTACTTATTCTATCGTGTTCAAACAGTTAACAGGTCATTGCACTCAAACCTGTTTGCTAACTATTTGCCCCCCCAGACATTTCTGCTTGGGTTAATGTGACTGTTTAAGCCAGGGGTGTCAAACTCAAGGCCCGGGGGCCAAATCCGGCCCGCAACCTCATTTTCTGTGGCTTGCAAAGAATAATTTATTATACGGTTACATGCCGCTTTACAGAGGCACGTTGCCCATAAACTATATCCCACGATGCATCTTGTTTTGTGACATGCGCACTGAAGAGACTTGCAATTATTTGCCCTAAACTTCTGCTTTCAGACCTAGTTAATTACTAAGTTATTATCCTATCCGATAATAATCCAATGCAGAGGCAATAATGTAATATAATACATTATTTTATGTATATTATATATTTATATATGTATTTTTATATAGTCTTAAAGTTACAACCGGCCCTTTGAGTGCAACCCTAATGCTAATGTGGCCCGCGATGAAATTGAGTTTGACACCCCTGGTTTAAGCTTTAACTAGAACAGCAACATGAACAGGAGAGTTGTGTCTTTGCCTCATTGTTGACAATCATTTGCCATCCCTGTCAGTAAGTGCAATGCTGCAGACGCAAGAGACGCAAGGTCAAAAGGTCACCTTATCTCATGGGAAAGAGTGGTTGATACCTTATTCAACCAATGTGAATGGTTTAGACTCATCCTAGTACGGTTTTAATGACGGGCTTCTGCTGGGAGACATGTTAAAATATAACCTTTCCACAGACTGACTGTTGTCCAGTAATAATTAACAGTGCTGCAAATTGAAACTGATATTAACTGAAAAATCTTGTAGTTTTAATAAAGTTCTGTTTCAACACCAAAGCAGAAGAAACTCAAACACCATGTACATCTGATTGGACTGATAAGACATTTTAGACTTTTACAACACTTCCATTTAGATATATTATATTCTTTAAAGTCTACTTGCTGATAATGGCAAATATTAGTATTAGGGGAAACACTTTTGAATGCAGATTTCACTGTTAAAACTCAACAGTCGTTTAATTAAACTGGAATTCTTCATGCCAAATATTAACTCTAAACAAGCAATCCAAAGGCCAACTTGTACCTTACCTCTAAAAACAGTGTTGTCCATGGTCAGGAGGGCAGCTCCCACTCTGAACTTGCTGTAGGGACAGTACGCATGCTGCTTGGCCTCCTGAGACTGTTGGATCAGCTTCTCTATTGCTTCTTGAGACAAGTGTCTGGAGCCTTGGTCGTTAATATGCGTCACAGTGCCGCTGGACTTGACTTGGTCCATGATTGCCCTAGGCTGTTTTTGAGTGAGTCAGTGAGTCTATTGTGGCTCAGCTTTAAATGGCAATGGGACAGAGGGAAGGGGGAGAGGGAGTGGTCCCAACCAATCAATGGCTAGCTGGCTAGGATGGCAACATACTGTCATAGAGTCAATGGGAGGTGGTTTTGTTGTTGACACATTATGTGCAAACATGACAATCAAGTTCAGGTAACATGCTGTGACCCGTCTGTACAACAAATTACTATTAAGATGTGTTCCTATACTGTGTTTTAGATGACCAATAACAGAGTAGACCATTTGAGAAAATATGTGCTTTTATTGTTAAGTCCAGCTTCTATTAGAGTCAAATGGACCAAAAATGATCCCTGAAATGATCGCTAAAACCATTTCTGGAGAGCACTACAAACACTGTAGCATACAGCAACAGCTCTAATATAAAAAGTGCATTTAGTTGTAGTAGTTTCTGTCAGACGTTTTTTTCCTAACAACCTTAGTCTTATCGCTCAGGTGATATTCACCTAATGATAAAAAACTAACATTGTAAGCAATGTATTAAAGACAACAAAAAATGTCCATGAAGGATCCATGGTCCATCCGTTCTTCATCACAGTAGAGTTAGGTAAGCTGGTTATCGACAGTCTTATTATCTGTTCTGGGTGACCCAGTTGATCCATCCGAGGTAGTTACTGACCTTGGTGTAGACGCCAGGGTAGTAAGAATAGGCACAGCCAATGCCCCAAGACACAATGCCCTCAAGGTTACCGTTACAAACCAGAGGTCCTCCTGAGTCACCCTGAGGAGGAACAAGAGTCAAAAGTTACACATTTTAATATAAAAAAATGCTTTTTTCCTTGTTCCTGACTGAGCTGAAAAGATGTTCATGTTTTCTTACTAAATGGTTGGTGTAAAAAGCCTTTGAAACGGCACTAATCAATATGCATCAATGTAAATGGATCATAGGACTATGAGGGACGTGAAAAGGGTTAGTTATAGTGAAGAGTCAAGAGAGAGACCACCCAAGTCTGCATGTTACCCCAGCAACACACATTCTTCTTTTTCTAGCCTGCAAACCCGCTCTTGATTTCAGAAACGTCGGGGAAAGCTCTAAAAACCCAAACAATAAGTTCCCAGCACCAAAGCGCATGCAGATAATATGTGTGGTTAGCTAGTGAACATAATGGGACAATTAGCAGCTTAAGATCCAGATTATTATTTTATAGAGTTGATTGAGACAAAAACAGAGCTACAGGAAGAGTTATTAATGCCTAATATTAGACTTGAAGTTATACAGGCGGCTGTAACAGAATCAGAAAAGTGAAGAACTATCATAATAATGAATTGTTCTTTGCTGTCCTTCAATTTGTGAGTCATAAGAGCAATCTGTCTTTTGTTTTACATGTTGGTGGTGGGTCTGGTAGGACTGAAATATTGTAGTGAATACTTTTGCAGTAAAATTCACCATAATGTGACATCTAATCATCACAGTACATGATTAACATTACCATTTTTAATTTGTATCTTTGATTTTATCCTTAATTTGATGAATCTGTGTGAATCTGTGCTGTCCTGTTTTTCAATCCTAACCTGTTGCTGTTAAACTACTGAATTTCCCCACGGGGATTATTAAAGGTCTCATTTTATCTTATCTTGTATGTTCTATTTTGTCCTTATGCAAGATTTGTTCCTACAGACAGTACAGACAGTTCTATCTCTAAAAAACACACACACACACACACACACACACACACACACACACACACACACACACACACACACACACACACACACACATACACACACACACACACACACACACACACACACACACACACACACACGCGCACGCACGCACGCACAGACACACACACACCATTATGTCTCACCTGACAGGAGTCTTTCCCCCCGGAGTAAGATCCAGCACAGATCATGTTTTCTGTGATCCTGAAGTAGTAGTAGTACCAGCAGTTTCTAAACATGTCCACATCCACAGACCTCAGTTCAGGTGACAGGCTGTAGCTGTTGAGCGAGGTCACGCCCCAGCCGCTGACTTTGCACCGGGCGCGGTCGGCCAGGGCCGGTGAGTCCGGCTCAGGCAAAGAGACCAGCCCGACCCAGGAGTTTAGGACAGCTGGACGGTCCAACTGAGCCACAGAGAACATATCCTTCAGTCAGTCAACACAGAAAGCTAATGCTGACAAAGCATTGCACCTTTCCATTTCACATTCAAATGTAAGTAAAGAAGGTTGTTGCTTTTCTAAATTACACTCATGTGGTGTATGTTACTTTTTTCAGGCAATGTATTTATGTTTATATAAAAGTAATGTATTAAAGACAACAAAACATTTCAATGAAGGATCCAAGGTCCATCCGTTCAAATCTTCATCAAAGTAGAGTGATGGTTTGATGTTTGATGTTTCACAGCAATTGCATACAAACACTGTCTGAAACTGAATACATTGAATGTGGTGCGCGAAAAGGATAAATAAGAACATCAATGTGAAGCTAATTGTTAATGAAAGGTTCGATGTAGGTGCGTTTCAAAAAGAGTTCTAGTTTAAAAGTGTTCCAGTGCACTGGGGATTCAGTTGGATTGAAAGCCACCAATATTTGAATGATAAGCAAATGAATTAGTATTGACTGAGTGGAATAGTAGTCACCAAAAGAGCATTTCCACTGTGTCATAGGCTGAGTGATGAGGTTACACATATAATGGGAAACTCCATTAACTATCACTCAGCCTGTGAAAAATGAGTGGTGAAAGTAACATTTACTCAAGTACTGGTTAGTTTCAAGTACCGGCACATCTTTGAGGTACTTGTACTCTTCTTAAATATTACTTTATACTTCTACTTTTACCTTTTTCTCATTGACCTCTATAGCTGTTTGTTATTATCGATAATATCCTATTAAAGCATTATCAGCATCTAAAACAGAACGTGTGTTGAAGTGAAAAAACTCCTTTGACTAATTGTTTTATAGTTATATGTTTTAATATATAGAAAGTAAGAATATACAACTTTTTAAGCAGCTATCAGTTCGGATTCAAATGTATTTAGTAAAATCAATGTTTTCATAATTCTAGTATCGCTATCCTGCTTTGTTCTTTCTTGATTCAAAATAAATCCATTTTTTTAACACTTTTATTCCTCATGCAACATAAAATCAGTGAAAACAAACTAAATGCAAAAGCACAACAAATCTTAATATGTTGACCTCCACTGGTTGACTACTCTGTTTTAAATCTATCTCTTGTGAGTACCCCAACTTTATAGAAATAGACATTTTAAACGTTATGAATTGCACCTCTATTTACCATAATAGGACACATCCTTAGATAGTCCCTTGACAGTCCTTACATTATCAACTTCCTCTTGACTGCCTTTTCTGTTTTTTTTAGTTTTGCTTGTCCTTGTTTGTCTACCCTCCCTCATACTGTAAAGCGTCTTTGAGTTCCAGAAAAGCTCTATATACATTTTATTTATTATTATTATTGAATGTAATGTAAGGATTTGTAGTATAGAATTGGATTTCGGGTCACTGACTCACCAATGTCAGTCAGTGACCAAATCAGTGTCTAAAATCTGTAAGATCTTATTAAAACACAATCTTCTTCAATCATCCCTCACCTTAATCAGCATGATGTCATTGTCAAACGTCCAGTGTTGGTACATGTAGTGCCGAATGACTAAGGCGGCGCTGAACCTCTGCTCAGTGCCTTCCTCTGTGTTGAAGCTGTGCTCCCCCAGGACCACTTGGATCATGTTGCTCCTGAACGAACAAAGAAGAAGGCAAAGGAGAATTATTTTGTTTTGGTGCTTATTTTGCAACGACAGATTAGAAAATGTAACACTACTTTCAAAGTTAAATAGACCTCTCTAATATTTGTTCAACACAGCTTTGAGGTTTGAATGCAAGGTGCAGCATGTGCTTCAAGATATTCAAGTACTACGTCACCCACATTATTAAAATGTGTACATCACTTACCCGATGTTACCTTGAATTCTTGACAAAATAAATAACGTTAATTTCTAAATCTTGATGGATTGAAGTACATTGGGTCCACATTTAACTATAGCAAAATCACATCAAATCATCCACTAACAAACGCTCACACAGTGTAATACCGTGTATATCTTAGAAGCCCATAAAACCCAACAAAACATTTGTTGCTTATTTTTGCAGTGTAGTAATATTATTTGATATCACTGGGTCACATGACATAGAAGCTATTGAAAGAAATCAAGATGTTTAAAAATCATATTGGTATGAAATATTATTATAATAATATTTGAATAAAACAAATAATAAATACATATTCATTAATATAAAATGTAATTACATTTTTTTTTTTTGCATCAGTCCATGACGTATAAGTCATCAACAAATGTGTCACATAATACATATTTAATTTGTACTAATATAGGCACGTAAGCATTTAGTTATTGAAAAATATAATAATTAATGAATGGTCCCTATGTGATTCTTTTGACATGTATTTTAATTAAATATGTAATGTAAACAGATTTCACATAATTGTATTAGGTTAGTTGAAAGCAACAATATTAAGTTTAAATATAGGTAATATATTTAGTTTCAACTAACCTAATACAGTAATGTGACATTTGTTGACATAACACTTTTAATTAAAGTCAACGTTTCAGTTTTTTCAGTGAATAATTCAGTGTAACAAGGGGCAAGTCATTGATGTATAAAGTGTCATCTTGTGGGTGAAGTATTCTTTCAGAGAGTACACTTTCCATTGTGCACAAGCATTCTGGTATCTGAGTGTAACACTGCAGTAACTTACGGTCTCCAGCAGTGGGCAGCAGACACCACCCACTGCCGGTTGATGAGGGTGCCTCCACAGAAGTGGTGGTTCATGAACAACAGGGAGGCCTGATACGGGATGGAGTTGGGTCGTACCACATCACCACCGATGATCCTCTGCCCATACACACCTGAGAGAAGAGGAGGGGATCAGTCACACAGAGTCAGAGAGGTTTCATTATGTAACTTGAAGGTCACCTATTATGCAAAATCCAAATGTTCATGTCTTTTATACATAAACATGTGTCCCCTCTATGTAAAGAGATTCTGAAAGTTTCAGGAAAAAAGATTCGCTCTCTTTTTGTCCTGATCCATTTATATAAAAACTTGTCTGAAAATGAGCTGATCAGATTTTGGCCACTTTATGATGTCATAACGATTGTTTGGCTTGGTAACCATTAGCCAATAACCAACCAAGGTAACCCCCCCCCTCCCCCACCTTATCACCTGGATCTCCTCCGAGAGCACCATTGTGTTCTTTTTAACCAAATATCTTGCAGAGGGGCGTGGGTGTAAGTGGCTCCTTATTTTCATCTAAAGTAACAGACAGAGAATCAGCACTTTTGAAACAGGGGTGAAACAGAGGGGATTATTGAATGCTGCAATGGGTGATCTGTTTGGTATTTCGAGCCAAACACTTCAGAGACATGTTTTGTATATATCTGAGACCTATAATATATTGATGAAAAACAGTATAATAGGGGACCTTTAAGATAAGTCTACAGCTTTCACTCATTCACTCATTCACTATATGAAGTTAGATATGTGTGAGTTAGAAGTTAAGTGTGTATTGTAAAGTATTCTTCAATGTCTCACCTCCTTCAACAAGCAAAAGGAGCAGTGGGAGGTAAAAAAAAGATGGAGCCCGGTTCATCTTAGTTGCTGCAAAAAAACAAAAAAGAACAGAGATGGTCAGTACAGGCCATACACTGGTAATAAAGAACAAGAGTGTTCACTCCTTGGCAGCTGAGGTTTGTGTCGGACAAATAAATGTAGGTCTTGCCGCTCACCAAATATCCAGAAATGATCAACAACCTTTGAGTTTGTAGGTGGGTTGCATGTTATAATCAGAGTGAATATATAAGTTAGGAAACGACAGGGTTAACTTCCTTTACATTGCATGGCTACTTCTTAGTTAGTCAGTTGAAGGTACTTTTTCAATGTATTCATTGGAACTCCAGTCAATAATCATTCGAATAACAACGATATTCATTTAACATAAAATCTAGAAAGCTGTCTCACCTTAAAAGTAAATAATCCACACACCGGCACACACACTATTCTCATACCGCGACACACAGTAAAGCTTGAGAACTCTCAGGCCTCTTTTATACTGTAGCCATGCCTCTCACTCTCATATTCCCTGCCATTGTGCCATATTTCTAAGTGTCTCTCACACACACAACAGTCTGACCTAGTACATGTTTTTTTTTCTAAACAGCAGTCTTCTCTTTTATCACGCTTCTCTTTCTAAGGCTTTTGTTTTCCCAGATTCAACCTATTGTCCAGCAGTGGAGAAAAAGTCAATCTTTGCAAGGATGAAACCCAACCAGCCATAGCAAAGGTAGAATACACTCAACAGACATGTCATTGGTGTATCCAATGATGTTACAAAATGCAGGACAAATGCAGTCTGCAGATCTTTCCTTCTTAGTTCCAACACACAGGGGTGTTTGGTTTGTAACTCATAGCCTTCATGCAGCTTTTTTCCCAAAGGTGTCATTCCAGCTGTTTGGGTGAAAGGTGATAGTGGCCTTGCACTCCCTCAGGTGCAGTACTGAGATGACAGAGGATGCCTTTGCGTGTGTGTGTTTGTGCATGGAGAAGTACTTGTTGCCGAATATTGTCAGTCAGAAATTTAGTTGAGAGAGGTTTATGTTTAAAACAATCGGACATGAATGTGTTTCTAGCTAATTAAGAACATTACATTCCCACAACTGCTAAATGTGGTAGATATGTACCTTTGTTTAAAAAAAGTATTGCAATTTCTGATGGTTCACAAATTAATATGTTCACATTGTAGTTACATACAGCCTTAGCTCACACCCAGGAAGACACATTTTGGGAAAAACACATATTTACTTACCGAAAAAGTTGGGTGAGATACCAGATTGACTCTCACCTCACCACTCTCACATCTGTCAATTCAGTATGGAGATAACGGTTAGATAATTTTTTGTATTTGTATTACACTACACTTGTGGGTTTCCTGGGTGTATTTGTGCTGCAACTATTTCTAGGCTATGAGAAGGAATTTCCCAAAATTCGTTAATTATTCTTTATTCCTTCAAAATAGTGGTAATGTTTGTTTACATAGCAAATTTTCAAGAACAGACAAAGTGCTTCAGAATAAAAGACAAACCCATAGCAGATGCAATATAAAAGTAAAGAACAAAATACAGATACAAGTAAATAAAAACATAAAAAAGGCTCTCTTAGAAACTTGATGTACAGACCTTGCTGTCAAAGGTTTGCTGGGGACTGGTACAAAGTAGTCTTAAGTAGAAATAACATTCACCTCCAACATGTTACCAAATCTGAACGGCTCAATACCACAGAGGTAAAGTGGTGTTTTGTAACTTAAAAATGTCACAATATTGTAAGGACAGTTGCGACACATCTGCCATATTTCCAAAATATTTGCATGAGTCTTTATATTAATAAAAGAAAAAAAACCCTGACATTAGAAGGTGATTTCCTGGGTCCAGGAAACACCTGACAGTGGAAGGCCACACAACAGCGTCTCTCCCATTCTTCTGAAGCATCAATTATTCAGCTTGCTCTAAATATGGGACAAGAGGAGGTCAGGCGAGTTTCTCCTCCCATGCTGTGGATGATGCTGACTTGCCAGGAGGAGGTTGGTGGCGATGATAATAGAGAAGATGATCTGTCTGGTGATAGTAAGTTATTATCATTTCAGACGTGATGATTCATACTCATACAGAGTAACACTTGTGCGCGTCTGGGCTGCAGAGAATACCTCTGTGTTGTCTTGACTCAGACGTGACTCTCCCCACAGCTATAAAACAAAGCTGTGCTCACACACACACACACATACACACACACACACACACACACACACACACACACACACACACACACACACACACACACACACACACACACACACACACACACACACACACACACACACACACACACACACACACACACACACAGTAGGCTATTGAAACATTTCAGCACAGATAAGGCTGGATGATGACACAGACAGAGCGTGCTGATACAGTATATATGAACCTGCTCAGCACAGTACCCTGTGTTGCCATGCCAACAACGTAAGGCCTTTCGACAAGTTAGGAGGGTCAGGAGAGAGAGAGTTGAGATGGTGCTGGGATGGCAGGGGGGTGCGGGGGAGTGGGGTGCTGAAGGTGAACTTTGTTGCACTCTTTCCTTTTCAATCAATGCTACAGTGTAGGACCCTTGTGCTCCATGTCAGGGTGAAGGATGAACACTTTTTTTTTCCTGAGGAAACTCGAGGATAGAGGTTGATGTGAGTGACTTGTACTGTTTGGAGGAGGAGTGGATGTCCAGCAGCCAGGAGCAGAGGACACTGGGTATGGGGCTGCAGTGTTTCAGCTACTGGTATGGTGTAGGACGACGGCCTGAAACCACAGCGATGATGAGCCTGCTCATGAGTTTATGTTGCATGCTCCTCAACCTCATGACAGTCCACAGTGAGTACATGGCTTTCAGCTCTGGTAATGTTCATTTATAAAGATTGGATACGCTGTGGTTTAAGGGTGTTTTGATTTAAATAATGTTAGAGAGGTGGCCTGATAGAGTTTTAAAGTTTTTATTTAAGGAATATTAATTAGTATGACAATTTGGGTCTTTGTGCAGCAAGTGAGATGAAAAGATAAATCTCTGCGTGATTGGTGTTGCAAATAAACTAGTATTGATGATAACGCTAGTATTTAGAAATAAATATGATAACATTTTGAAAACACACAAATGATAATATTATGCATATAATTCATGACTCTTTTAATCATTTTTGTACCGTAATGGTCACACTTCCTACCTCCCTATACTCGTACAAGTAGTAACATTTATTTGCCAAAAAGAGACAAAATAAACTTAGTTTAGGATGAAATTGACTCATTGCATAATTATTATTTATAGATAGATAGATAGATAGATATCTAGATATCGTAATAATGTCTAAATCATAATTGATCTAATATTGTGGCAGCCTAGTTGTGAGATGGAAGCTAAAGCCAGTTCGATTAGCTTAGCATAAAGACTGGAAACAGGGGGGTTAGCTTGGCTCTGACCTGCCTTTAACAGAGAGTTGTTGACCAGACTTCTTGGCTGGGATTAGTAACTTTATTTAGTCTACGCTGCAACAGGCTGGCACATAACCCCTCATAAACTGTGATTTTATTATTTTTGTATTTATTTTTTTGTACAAGATTGCGGCAAAAAAAGCAAATAAGCAAATAATGTTAACTTACTCATTTACATTGATTTACATAGCTACACTGCATCTGTCGTAACTCCTCAACAGTGTTCATCCAAAACTGTAGGGAATCAGTTTCACCTTCCCATCATGTCTCCTCTACTGTATGGCCTCAAGCCAATGTACAATAGTTGATCTGTTGCAAGAGGCAGGCTGGGAGAGCCCCCATTTGAATGTTTCAGAGCCCAGAGTGAGGTGGTGACATTAGAAGGTCAGGTTATATTGAATTACTTTCATTACGCAGCGGCCTCCCATGTGACAGAAAACCACTAATTGTTAGGCCGAATCAATGGCCTTGAAGGGGGGATTGTGAGGGCCTCACTCTTTATGTTTCTCCTTTGTTCACAAGACTCCACATGCTTCATAAGATGGACTTTTTTTTAGCATGCTTGAAATCCATACCAAGTGAGTTGTTACTATATTACCAGGCTGTTTTAGGTGCTTAGCAATTTACTTGGAAGCATGAAGAATCTTTTCAGTGTTTGATCAAAGGTTTTGTGCTGTGTCTTTACATAAGTAGGGGGGGAAGTAAGTATTTGCAAAGGTGTTTTAATGTCTACTCTCCATCAGTTCTGTTAGCTCTGACTTTGAAAAACGTTAACACTTTTGGATGAGAAGCGAAAAACGTCTTTCTGCCACAGCCCCTCTTAACCTTGTCCTGTAAATGTTTTTGTTTCCATACAGGCCGTGTGGTCAGGCAGGGTCGTATAGTAGGAGGTCACACTGCTGTGCCAAACTCCATCAAATACATTGTATCACTGCAGAGCACCAGGGGCCAACACTTCTGCGGCGGATCCCTGGTCCACAGGTACTGGGTGCTGACAGCAGCGCACTGTAACATCGGGTACAATTTTTCTTTAGTTCCCATCAACAAGCTGTCGATCCTTATGTTGTTATTGTTTGGTGAACACTTTCCATGTTGATTTCCATGTGGAAAGGTTTCATGGTACTTTATGATTTCAATGTTTTAACCATGTTAGCGGGCTTGGTTCTAAGGATGTAAATGATAGTCAGTTCATCTCAGCAACTATTGGATGGATCAAGTTTCTTACAGAAAATCCTGATGCCAATTGGATCTAGCCAAACGGCATCTTAAAGGGGACCTATTATGCAAAATCCACTTTTGTCATGTCTTTTATACATAAACATGTGTCCCCTCTGTGTAAAGAGATTCTGAAAGTTTCAGGAAAAAAGATTCACTCACTTTTTGTCCTGATCCATTTCTATAAAAACCTGTCTGAAAATGAGCTGATCAGATTTTGGCCACTTTATTATGTCATAACGATTTTTTGGCTTGTGTAACCATTAGCCAATAACCAACCAAGGTAACCCCCCCCCCCCCCCCACCTTATCACCTGAATCTCCTCCTAGAGCACCATTGTGTTCTTTTTAACCAAATATCTCTCAGAGGGGCGTTGGGAGTGGCTCCTTATTTTCATTTAAAGTAAAAGACAGAGAATCAGCACTTTTGAAACAGGGCTGAAACAGAGGGGATTATGGGATGCTACAATGCATGATCTGTTTGGTATATCGAGCCAAACATTTCAGAGACATGTTTTGTATATATCTGAGACCAATAATATATTGATGAAAAACAGTATAATAGGGGACCTTTAAGATGAGTAACCGTCAAATTATGTCTGTTGCCTATGCTTTCGAGGAGTTCTTGGAGTCTTGTGATAGGTTTGCTCTGTCCTTTCAGAGACATATGTTACCTTTTTAAGTGCTTGTCCTTGCAATGGTACTGATTTAAGTCCCATTACAACCGATATGTTACTAGGTCTTAAGGTTAGATATGTACCTTTATATGTATCCTTGCTACTATTCACACATGAACCAAGGCAAGAAAAGGTTCCTGAACATTTCAGGGATGGACTGGATGTGTGACAGGGACTACATTATATTAGAGCAAAGCTTGATAAAGGGAAGAAATACGAAGCAAAAATCAAGGCGGTTTTGCCTCCTGAATAGAAAATCTTTGACCTGACAGTCAGTTCGGACTTTGGTGAAGGTAAAGATCAAACTGTATCTGTAGCACCTGCACAGGCAAGGACATTCTTATGGCACTGGGCTCTATAGACGTCACTGTGTAGAAGCTAACTTGTCATGATTTAATATTGTGAACAGATGGTCCAAACAGATGCCTTTAAGCAAACAACCATTTTGGTACGGGACGTAACGTCAAAATGATCCCGCTTGATCATGACGCACAAATAATTCTGTTTACAGGACAATAGGAAGTCAAATAGTACTCAAATACGGTCAAGTCAGCTGACCTTGACACATCATCAGTGTGTGTGTGTGTGTGTGTGTGTGTGTGTGTGTGTGTGTGTGTGTGTGTGTGTGTGTGTGTGTGTGTGTGTGTGTGTGTGTGTGTGTGTGTGTGTGTGTGTGTGTGTGTGTGTGTGTGTGTGTTTGTGTGTGTGTGTGTGAGTGATCTTATCTGTTTCCAGGAAATCGGCTGTATTAGTTGTGTTATACTGCCCCGGCCCTGCCTGCTGCACACAGTAAGCCATTGTTCCCTGGCAGACAGACACTTCTACCATTATGTGTCTTTGTGACTTTGAATCTGTCTTTCAGGGCAGAGCACATGATGATAGTGGCGGGCGACTACATTGTAAATACCTTTGAGGGTACTGAGCAGTACGCTAAACCCCGCAGGGTGGTCACCCATCCCCTCTACAACAGGAGCACCAACAATGCTGACATCATGCTCATTAAGGTAGCGCAGGCACAATGCAGACACGTTTTCCACGCCCCTTAACATGAAAATGTATTGATTAATGTGTGGTAACATACATTTGTTTTTTGGTATTCAGCTACAGTTTGTCTCTTTTGTGCCTTGTTAAAATATGTTACTAAACTTTTAACATGGTTCATTTAAGTTATATGAATGTCTTCTCAATCACTAGTTTATTTATTTCTGCTCTCTATCACTAATAATGTTGAGGTGGAAAACAGCAGAACAATGTTGCGATTGCTTGGTAAACTATTGTTGTTTTAAACGTTCATATAACATCATATCTATTATTTCACCTGTGTATGTTACCTCTCTACTTTATTACTGATAATACTCAGAGTAGGAACTATAATTTATGTAACTCTTCTGTATCTCAGTGAAAGAAATCACACAATTTCTGCTTCGCAATGACCAGACGTTGCCATGATGAGAGGCCTTTTTGTGATTCAGTAGGCAAAGCAATGTGTAACAACATATACTTTCTACAAAGTCTAAATCAATGAAAGATGCCACTTTGGTACACCCTATAAGTACAACATAAAAACGTAATCATCTTAAGTTGACATGCTGAATGTGGTAGCTAACCATGTCCTATTGAAACACCAGCAGACACAGCTAAATGTGCCTTCTTCACACTTTTTGACAACTGTCACTAACTTTTGTTACCTGCTTTCTGTTAGTGCCGGGCAGCTTTGTACAGTGAGATTTGTTCTTTGCTGAAAACATTTAAAAGTGGTTAATGACAGCAAATGTTTTCGAAAACAAATGTTTTCTAGTTGCGGGCCCCCATGGTGTTGAACAAATACGTGTCGCTGGCGCCTCTCCCCAGGCAGGGCACAGGAGTGATCGATGGCGTGGTGTGTCGGGTGTCCGGGTGGGGATACAACAATCTGGGTGTAGGCCAGGCCCCCTTCACCCTGAGGACCGTCGCTGTGCCAATTGTTTCAACTGCAAGGTGTAACAGCAGCGAGTCCTTTAATGGAAACATCACGGCAAACATGATCTGTGCTGGCTACAGGATCGGAGGGAAAGATGCATGCAAGGTATGAGAAACAAATGCTTTAATACTTCCTTTCACTATGATGATTTTAAACATCTGTGAGGTAAGTGGGTGTTGCACATCAATGTATCAGTCCCATTGATCATAGAAAAGCTATTAAATCTATTTTGAAGTAATATGTTTCAGGTTATAGCTGAGGGTTGTCCTTTTTTCATCAGCTCAGATTAGAGCCAAACACTCTCACAGTTCATAAAGTTCATCCCCATGACAGTACAAGGAAACAGTTCATCATTTAAGTGTTGGTTCAGCTACAAGCTTTTATTAAAAAGCATCCCTGAAATAGCACCAGGACTGAATACCTTGGAGTCGTTTTGTAGCTACAGACACCTTCATGCTCAGATTTGTTTATCAGTATCATGTAAGAATTTCTGCCCCATACAACCTTTGATGTGAGAAGAAAATTGCATGAAACGCAATGTGAGATATACCAGTGTGCTATATTTCGCCTAAGGTAAAGAGCTGAATGACTAATTAAAATGGGCTATATTTATCCCTGCAGTAGGCAACTTTATGTGTTTGCATTTCCAAGTGGCAGCAAGAGATTATGATTTGATGAGTCTTATTGAAACCATACTAAGATATTACAGTTTGGTTTCTCACATCTGTTGATTTTAGTTTGTTTTGTGTTATGTATCGCCATGAAACATATAAAGTTATAATTTTTGTGGAACATCTTTCACATGTGGTAAACTCACGTGCAAGCACATGTGATTTCCTGATATTTGAAAACAGCAATGCTTTTCGTAATGGGTCAGAAAATCTGACAAATCCACATATAAATTGTGGTTTGTTTCACTAAGGAGCTTTTGTTTTTGGTTTGTTGTGTTTGTCTACAGGATTACTTAAAAATGAGCCAGAGCTTATTTTAAGTTAAAATGTACCACTGTACTCTTGAGTATCTTTCTTGATCTGCAGTAAGAACTTACTTTACTTGGACAGGTTATTCAAGACAAGGAAGTGTAACACCATCATCAAACTGGCTTTACATTGAGCTAAGATTGTTTGTGTTTTTCATGACGTAAGTTTTGACATGATAACTGACGGTGGGTGTTGTCTTGTTCTTACAGGGAGACTCTGGTGGGCCACTGGTGTGTAGGGGGTATGTCTACGGCGTGGTCTCCTGGGGCAACGGCTGCGGTGATCCTAAGTTTCCGGGAGTCTACTCTGCCGTGTCCAAGTTTCGCCGATGGATAGACCAAACTATTTACGGGTTACACACACGCTGTAGCAAATACTGATGAACATAATGATAAACCAACATGATGTATGTGAGAAAATGGTCATTCCCCTGAACATTTCTGTGACCAAAGGTGGTTATGTGGAAAATATGCAGAGCTATCTTTTTTCTGATAATATTTTCGATATCAATATAAAGGAGATGCATCCCATATTCTGAATGATCCACCTGTGGCTGGTCTCTGACTGCTACAGAATGTATGACCCACTACAGTGAGCACTTTATAAGCCTCCTGTGTATATACTCCAGTAATGTCAAGGTCTTTAAATACTATTTTTTGACAATAAATAATCATATTTAGAGAATGTGTGGCTGTGTGTCAGAGTTGAGTGGTGCATGTGTACAGTCAACTTCAAGTCAGATTTTTGTAAATGTTTTCATTGGTGTACATTAAAGGCCCCTGAAAACCGAATTTTCCAATCTGCTGCTTTCTTTAACCAAATCTTCTGCCGAGATTACTACCGTTTTGTTTATTCGAAACACAAAATATTTATTTTGGGGTTTCGGTGCTCTACTTGCTGGTTCAAGTTTGGGAATTTTTTTCAGATTTTAATCACACTGATGATAGTTGTATCATTTATATTTTCCCAGGCCACGGAAAAACTACTTATACACACATTGTTTTTCCCACTGTGCCCTTCTTACAGGTTTCATCTCTCTGGTCATGATTCTTTTTTGGTATTAGACTTTTTTTGTGTGTAAACTGTACATTTTTCCACTTTGTTTACACAAAGCTCTGCAGACAACTATTTTGGTCAAGTGAATACAAATTAATTTGGATGGTAATATATCCACATGTGAAAATAGTTGTGTACCAGGAAAGAGTTGTTATTGAATTGTTCTGATATGAAGCTGATAAAACCTTGGCCTCTGTGAGTCCACAGGGATCAGGTGTGTCATGACTGCGCCTCCTCTATGAATAGTCGACTGTATATCAAAGTTAGTTCTGCTGCAGGCTCCAATATCACCTTTCATTTAATTGTATATGAAATGATATGGTTAAGTTCCTTAATACCTGTACATAGCATCTTGTCCTTGTCCTTGTCCTTGTCCTAGTAAAAACTACAGAGAATAGTGGGTGGTGAGCCCAATGAGGATTAGTTTCCAACCTAAAGACAGTCCCAGGGGACTTCATTTAACAAAGAAAATCAGTTTGTACCATGTGACTTACACCTACAGTATAGTTAGAGAACGAAACACAATATTATCAACATGTGAATCATCATCTAATCAATACAAATATACAGTGGATGGTCATTTTACCAAATGGAATATTCCATTATTTTTTAAACATCTGAATATGACGTTTTACAACGTGATCTAAACAAGTTATTGAGTAAAATTTAGAGCAACATCAAATCCAGAACGTGGAGATTGGATTTGACTCAACTAGAAATTGTGGTGTTAAAATGGAATTACGCCATGGGGCCAAAAGTCACATCTCAGCCTATGAAAACACTGCCATCCTCTGGTGAGGTTTGACTCGGTGGTCTTGATTGAAACCCCCCTGACAAAATTACTCGACAATTTTGTAAAATTGTAATACAGGTTGGAAGATTTCACATCTCAATCTCGTCGAGTGGTGGCGCGTGAACGACGTCAACCAAAGATCAGTATTGGTTCACATTTATGTGCCATCTCTGAATATTAAGTCGCCATTTGTTTGATGCATCAAGATCCCGGAGAGTGGAGCATTGGTTCACCACGACTCCAACTGGAAGCATCTCTGGGCTGCACCAGAAAACCCCCGTACAGCTCCCTCGTCAGGTCTCCCAGGGATCCGTGTTTTGCATCGCTCCTCAATTTGCATTTCTTCCTCAGATTTTCCGTGCGACGGGTTCAGCCGCTCGAAACCAGCGGGCGCTCCACGGCTCTGTAGTACGTGCGCCTCCATTTCCAAAGCAATACGCGCAGAGATAAAACACCTCTGGATATTTTTGAATAATGTTGCCTAAGCTCCACGAGAGGGGAAATTGAGGACATTTTGAGTTGACTGTTATTTCTGTTGCGTACCTACGGAGACAGACACGTGTCTTCGGGGTAAACAGAAAGGGCTCGACCGTGTCAGCACTAGCTTTGTGTTTTTCCTTCACCGCTTTTGTTCGTTATAGACGACCGGGTTGAAGCTTGGCAACGAGCTTTACATTACAGTCTGTGCGCCTTGGTGATTAAGACGCATTTGGAGATGTCGGAAGTGCTGCCTTTCAACGAAGACAAAATGAGTCATTATGGAAATGAGGGCGATGAGGGACACCTTTCCTTCACCTGTCGTCTTCAAGACACCAACAACTTCTTCAATGGATCTCAGAACAAACGTCCGCCGAAACTCGGACAAATAGGAAGGAGCAAACGGGGTAATTATATAATTAAGGCGTTTTCGTTAGTATGTTGATGTGTTGAATGCGCACATAGGATACTAGTGGATCATAATTAAGGATGGCTCCGTGTGAAGGCATGAAGGCAACACCTTTGCCTTGACTTTGTTCTCCAGTAGAGCCTAACATCAAAGACATTACCTTTTGTTTGCATGCGTGTGGGATGTATGTGCTTTTAAATATTCTATTCGCATTGCAACACAAGTTGGATGCGCATTGCGTGCTGTTAAATTCCTTGTGAATGCTGCTTAACAAAGTTGTGCTAAATGTCCCCTCCCCACTGAATGGTTGGAATGATTGAGATCCACATGGGTTGTAATCTGTGTTTTTTGTGTTTGCATGAGGCTCACAGGATGTTCGTGTTTTGGCTTTTGTGTGTCCTGCATCTCTGATGAACCCCATGAGATGGTCCTCTAACATTGAGGCTCACTTGTGGTGGCACATGCATGCACAGGCAGTTGCACGTACAGTAGTGCACAAGCATGGACTACCATGGAAGTCATGTAATGTGCATATAGGTTCACAGCAAAAACACAAGCAGAAATACAGACAGTCATGACCATGCATCAGACACACACTATCTTTCTTTGTTATCTTTTATGTTGTTGCATACTCTCTCTCACACACACACGCACCACTCCTGCTCATACAGCGCAGTGCTAATGTTTCTGGGCTTTAATGCCCTCCATGTCAGTCGGTGGTGATTTTTTTTCGAGACGCCACACCAAGATGAGCCTCCCTCATTAACTCTTTCCCCTGTCATCCACAGTTGTGATCGATGATGAGAATGGCGGCGACGAAGCACAAAAAAATGGAACAGAGAAGACCCCGGCGGAGGCTTAGAGCGCTCGGCTCAACACCCCCCAAATGACACTCTTGACATTTTTTATGGCGATATTTACCAGTTTTAATCCAAAGACACTGTATATAAGCACTTTCTCTCATGTGGCAGCAAGCAGCACTTCCACGCCCTCCTCTCCCAGTCAGTCATGGCCATCCGGGTGAAACACAATGGCAGCAGAGGAGACCCCCAGATGGACCCCCCTGACACACACAGACACTCACACAAACAAATACACCCTCGATTGCAGGGTTTCGCCATAAATCCAAAAGCGGGAGAAGACAACAAGAAGAGGGGGGGGGGGGGGTGGACGAGGCGGAGGAAGGCTGTCGAAATGCAGAAATCAGGGACAGGATACAGAAATAAATCTAATATAAAAACTAAAGCACACATTTCTCCTATATCTTATCAATCAAACTTATGGTACCATTCTTTCTGCTCTTCATTTTTATTCGAGGGCAAATGAATAACAGAGTTTGTAAATATGGAAAGGGTAGCCCATATTTTCTTGCACAAAGTGGGAAGAGGTAAACTGGTTGGTTCTCTGTGTTGAAGACTTTATTTATTGATCCTTTGGAACATGTCTTTTGCAGTGACTCAAGGCCAGAGGGAGTGTTATTTTGTATGTCGAGAAAACTTTGAGTGAATGGGAGTGACATTTTTCTTCACTTAACAATTCTTGATGTTGCCTGAGTGTTCTTTGTTATACTTTGCAGCTAAAAAGTCATTTATATACAGTGTACCTCCCACCTGTTTGTAAGCTTCCCAGGCTTTCACCTGGATTGGTTGATACTGTAACTTGACTCTACACATCCTATTGATAAACTATTTATATTGCATTGTGCATTATTGTGTGTGCCAAATCTCATGAGGGAGAATACTGTACCAGAAAAATTGTTCTTTATTTGTGCTTTATACATTTACTCATACATTTGTTTTGTTGGGTTGCCATTTTTTAGGGCTCTTTCTCAAAAACACTGAGATACCAACTCATGCATGGCAAATACGAAATCATGCATGCACGGCAGAAGTTCTGAAACTCTTGTGTATTCTTGAAGCACCTCGTATACAGCTTTGAATGACAAACCTCGAGAAACAGTCTTAATTCTGCGTTGTACTGTACGATTCACACTGATTTGTACAGTGGCCTAATATCTTGTAATAAAGATTATGACAAAGTACTATTTACTGTTTAGTGTTGATTGTGGTTTAAATAATTATGTACTAGATGTTGCTTTTATTGTTTTTGAAAAGTGTAGCAAAAACAAAAAATATAGTTTTGTATCAAAAAGACAAAGACAATAGCAAATAGCTTGGCTGACTTTTGGATATGTACTCTGTACAGTTTCCTGTGTTATTGCATTGCATTTCTGGCTTAAAAGAATGGTCTATACAGCATTATCCACTGTGAGAAGTAGCATCACATTCTTTGGACAGATCAGATTTGGAAGGAGAAAACAATAGGGAAAGAAATGATTAAATAATTTGAAATCTACTCTCCGGTTTGTTTTATGGAGAGACATGGCTCGGATGACTGCAACAGACTACCATCTCAGAAAGTAGCTACAGTATTGCGATATATTCTGTGGGGGGGGGGAAATGTACACTACTGCTTCCCAATGCAATAAATGTCTGTTTGCATCTGAAATCTCAGCTCCTCTCTTTAATCAAGTCCTCTCTTAAAGTCCATTGCCAGTGATGTAAATGGTGCAGGGCCACCCAGGCGTGAGGAACACTGATGAGATGTGACATTTCCAACTCTGCTGTGGTGACTAAATGATTCATGTTGCCTGACGAGCCTCTGTCAGCGTACAGCATCTAAAACCCGGACCACTGGGATGTGTGCTGGGAATACATACATGCACCACACACACACGCACACACACACACACACACACACACACACACACACACGTCTGTTTCAGCTCCAACTGCAGGCGAGACTAACATATTGCTAGCCTCTCTCCCTCCCATGTCTTGATAGACATGAAAGGGTCTGCCTGGGCTGGGTACCATGGTAACAGATG